CCCACCAAATACCACCCCTTCCGCTGGAACTAGCCTCTTGCACCTTGCCCCTGGAGCCTTTCCCACCAGAACATCACTCCCTTACTGGAACCTTGCCCCCCCCCCGGAACAGCTCCCCTTCAAATTTACCTGAAAATTTTAAAATATATAATTTAAAGAGAAATTAAAGTTCAGCTACTTTACGTGATTAATCTGTGCTCTCTTTTTTTGTAGGTTACTGGCTCTCATTGAACAGTATAAAGGAACATGGCTCCAACGACATCTCCCATCAGGACTACAAGATTCTTTGCTTGTCTTAACAGCTGCACTCCATCGCTTTGTCCCAGATGAATCTCAGAACACTTAGTCACCAAGGAGAGCCACCATTGATGTGAGGCACACTCTTCCTTCTGGACACTGCAGTGAATAGAAGAAGGCATGTCAGTATTTAAATGTTTTCATTTGTTTGTTTCCATGTTGGTTAAATTACAATGCCCTGGACTTTATCTCTTCAAGTTATATTTCACCTTTAGTGACTGACAAATATTCATAATGGTTTTAATCTTTTTGATGTCATTATGTGAATATCAATTGTTTCCAGGTGTTTAGTTGAGACGAGAAACATAGTTGTAATTATGAACTTCCTTGTAGAATTGTAAATAATTTATTTGCTTATTTTTATGGTATGATCAGATTTGTATCTGAAGTATATTTATAAGTCATTAAAAAAATTGTGCCTGTATAAGTGGCAGGCATTGATTTTTTAATTCTTTTCATATCTTTCTTCTTCCTTATAATGCCTCTTTTCTTTTTTCTAGTAATTTATTTCTTTTTTAAATATTTATAATGTGCTTGTATTTTACAATCTTCTTCCAATTACCTAATTACTTAAGTGTAATTTTTATGAGATGTAGTGGCTGTCAAATCAGGAATTGTGAAAAAATAATAAACTGAAATGATGTTAATGCAGAATTTGTGTGTTAAAGACATTTGATAAACAAAGTGTGTTGTAAGTCTTTTGTAAAGGTTAAAGGAAAGAGTATGCATGTCTTGAAATACCAGTTAATATGCTTTCCAGGCATAGAACTAGTGTTTTCAGTCTTGTGAATTCATTTTAGGAATAGATACTGTCAGGAATTTTCATTAGGGCAGGTAATGTGTAAAGGTTTAATAGTTATTGATACTTTCTGCTTTTAGAAAACACTGGATTGAAGCTCCTTGGATAATATTTACATTAATTTTTGTTTTGAAAAACTACATTAAGTGAAATCTGGTGTGTAAGAATATTTCTATTTGTCATTTTGAAGTTTTGATGTTTAACATAATTAAAATAATTTCCTTATTTGACAGCCTTTTGAGATGGTGAATTTCAATTAAGTAACTTTTTCTGTTATACTTGTGAGATCACAAAGAATTTCATCTAATTGTTAGCACTACCTGTGTGTTAAATTTTTATGACAATCATCTTCCCAACTTGTGGGAATTCTTTGATATTTTGCCCTCAACTACAGATAGCCAAAAGAGAATGGGAAGGACAGAACATGATGCAATTGAAATGAATGTAGTGCAAGATTTACCTCAAATATTTACAAACTATAGTTTCATTATATATAT